CATCATAATCAGCCTCTCATTTATGTCACATACTAGAATGTTCACTTTGTCTGGTTTTGTTGCAGTCTGCCCCATTTCTGGGAAGTTCTCTTGCGAAACTTAGCTAAAATCGATAATTTCTATATAATTTGTGTGGGTGGGATATAGATGTACGAAAATTTTGTATGTGGGAAAAGTTATTTTGAAAATCTAGTGTAGAAAAAGAGTATAGGGACGAGAATCTTGTAGTTAGTGATAAAAACAAATTAGCTTAGATATTTTTCGTAAACATGAGAAAGCAAGAAATAACATGATGTGCTAAATGGCCTAGGATCTGCGTACTCCCTTCTTCTTTGATAGCATCATCGCTTCTTTAGCATTTCCTGATTCGTTATGTTCAATAAAGTTTGTAAAGTTTGGAAAATGAATTGATCTAAAACACGTCCACTTAAAGCATCACCTCCAAAACTGAAACCACAGAGCTCATTTTCAAAGTCGTTATACGATAGCAAGAGGGAAGTCCCACGGCGTGGCAACAACACCCAACTCACTATTTTTTCATCTTTAATAGACGTCGAATAACTATTCCAGAATCCAAGCCTTTAGCAAGTGATCTGATCGATTTTGAACTAAAGGACTAACAGGTTCTATAGATACACCAGCCAAGACTGAAACTTTGAGCATTTGCTCTGGGGTCGTTATGCGATAGCAAGGGAGGACCCCCCACGGCATGGCAGATCACTTCTCTCACTATTTTCTCACAGAGACGCGTCGCACAACCATTCCAAAACCAAGCCTTCAGCAAGTGATCTGGTTTGATTTTGAACTAAAGGACTAACAGGCTTTCTAGATATGCCAGTTTGGAGAGCGGATTGTTAAAAAAAGTTAGATTTGCCAGTTTTATGATCTAGTAATCACCTGATTGGTCACCTGGTTGATATATACACGGCTAACAATAAACTGTTGATGCGAGATTTTTTGAAGAATCTCAAAAAATGCAAACCAACTCCGAAAAGGTGAAATTCGTGCAAGAAAGGTTATCCAAACTTAGTGTCATTGCTTTTTCAAAAGATACGGATACAGCTATGACTCTCGCAAGGCCGCCCAGGAAGATCTCAGAAATTGTTTGGATTATATACACCGTACTGCTACAGCTAAAACTGCAAACATTGCAAAGAAATATCTAGTTAAAGATCTACGCATAAGGCATCATTATTACGAATAGGTATTAAGTCATTATCGTTTACAATTGAGTGCTTATGTACCCTTGTATCATACAGAATATGTTCAAGTCAAAAAGGACTGAGAATTTTTGGAAAAAACTTGAGAAAGAACAACTGGATGATGATGTAAAGCTTTCTAAGGTTAGTAATCGAAACCTGAATAATTTTAAACCTGTCGTCCGTCATTAGAAAAATTATTTAATACTTGTTCTGCAATCTAGGAAAAGCATAATAAGAAGCTTATCGTTAACGTTTTATGGGAGCACAATGTTGTTAGTGATCTAATGGCCTCTGAAACTGAACAACAACGCTCCAATGATGATGACCTTCCCAATGGCGACGACCTTTCCAATGGCGATGACCTTTCCAATAATGACCTTTCTGATGATGATGACCTTTCCGATGACCTTTCTGATGATGATGACCTTTCCGATGATGATGACCTTTCCGATGATAACAACGATGATAACAACGATGACGTTTCTAACTCAGGAAAAGATAATGGATATGAGAATGAAGACGATGTGGATGTTGCCGATTTATGTAAACCACATGTGATGGAAGCTGACACTGGAAAAGCGTTAACTTCAGATGAATGGGCGGAAGTACGGAAGTAGTAAATAGTTATCGATTAAAAATACCGAAGACGAGGTGTACATACAAGTGAGTTCATAATTATTTTATTGTTCATACCATACTTGAATTGACAGTTTTCTAGTCCACTTTTCTACCACATTGTTGACCATTCAGGTCAACACGGGCCAACCACAAAATTGCTTAATCGATATATGTCATCAATGTGTTGGTCACTACCTAACGTGAGCTTTGAATTGCCAAGTCTTTCAGTTGAACAAGATGAATTTTTTGATAAACTGCTTGTGGTAGTTATAATATTGCATCTCTTTGAGATCTTAATTGTGGATATTTGCTAAGATATATTAATATAGGCAGAGGACCTACAAGATGTTCGCACAAGTACTTCTGAACAATGAAATGCCAAGAAATTGGTTGATAGGATGTGAGTTGGCATAGAAGTTTTTATTGGAGATGATGGCGTCTAATTATTTTGTCATTATTTTTTTCTTAGAAATGATTCAATAAATTGTTCAAACAAAGATGATATCCCAGAATATGAACACACCATGCGCAATGTGATTCCATTCATTGACGCATCAATCAGAGATTTCCTGGACTACATTATACGCTAGTAAGTTGTCTCTTGACAATTTATTATTTATAAAAAATAGCTAATTCTTTACATATATACCAAAAAATGCATTAGTTTTGAAAGTACGCTTCGCGCCACAGCAATACGTCGCAACTTGGGTGGAGATCCTACAGAGCGTGCGCGAATGGGATATAGAGTAGATGTTCTTGTCAAGTTTCATGGCCTTCATTGGAGTCCTGACCTTGCATGTGGCGAGATATCAGGTGGACTCCCGAGGTGCTCTCGTGCCAAAGAGTGGATAGATACACTTAAGCTCAGCTGGGAACTGCGCGATGTGTGGGCTCTGGCTCAAGATCAGCTAAATGGAGTAGATGCTAGTACTTTGGTCGTATGGGGCTTTACTGTTATTGGTGAGCGATATTAATATGAGGCTTCAGTCATAACATGCTTGTTTACCCTATTAATTCTATTATATATAATGATTTTAGCCCGCACAATTCGTATTTACGCACTTGCATCTGCTGGTGGTTTGTTCCACCTCATACTTGCTTATGAGGCACCTCTACCTTCATCTAAATGGGACATTCGTAACACCGAAATTGCTTATTGCACCATGTTGGGATTTTTTCAAAAGTTGAATACTACCAAAAAGATGCTTGTCGATCTAAACGATGAAAGAATAAAAATGTTACGCACTGGAGTAAAACGGAAAAAGCCTTCTGTTTTTTTTTCTTCCCCACCAATCACAGGGTCACCAACAAAAAAAAAGAGAAAATAAAATTGTAATTTGTAAATCCGTTAAGATTTAATGTAATAGTAATGAGCCAATAAAATACTATCTGTGACCGCCCACATAATTTTAGCTTGTGTATGCAAAATTTTGAATTTTCCCTTTATAAATACTGTATTGTCGCGAGCAGTAATAATTGGGTGCTTGCGCACGTAATTTGGGAGAGCGTGTTCAACTGACTGTCAATAACTGTAATTTAATACGACTGAATTACAATCTATAAGCGACTAATTTACTGTTTATTATTGATTTTATGCGTGTATTACGTGTATACTCCCTATCAAACTTCTCACGCTCGAGTAACCGTAGATAAATAATTAACAACTATTATTTATTACGGAATCGAAGGGGGTACTTCGACTAGTTGGATCTCTCGTCACTTATTCGAAATTAATTATATATACGTGGTATGCTTGAAAAGTAATGACAATTTGCCTTTATTTCTAAACACTATGTTATGAAAGCCAAATAAACTATTTCATTCCTTCAAAGTAGTTACCATCATGGTCTATACACTTTTGCAGCCTTTTTTTTCAACTCCCAAACCATTTATAATACTCATTTTTTGAGATACTTGAAATAATTGCCTGAAACCCCTTGCAAGGTTTTCAACCTTGTCATACGTCTTATTTTAAGTTCTTTTTTGAGGTTAGAAAATAGAAAAAAATCACAGAATGCAAGGTCTGGACTGTAGGGTGGGTGAGGAAGAACATTAACTCTTTCTTGCTTTAAGTACTTTGTAACAACTTTTGCAGTATGTGGTGCTGCATTGTCATGATGAAGCATGACATTTTGAACAGTACTTCTCTCACTCTCATTTCCTTAAACTTTGAAAAAACTTCTGGTAAAATCTTATTAGCATAAAGGTTGCCAATAACAGTGGTTCCTTTTGGAATCACTATTTTGGCTACAATGCCTTCAACAGAAAAAAGAAAAAATACAAAACATGCATTTTTTGCTGTTTGTGCAGTTCTTGCAATTTGGGGCCTATTCTCCCCAGTCCAAGCCAAACTTTGTTGACTTGCTTATTTGCAACTGTGTAGAAATGTATCACCTACTACAACCACCAACTTTTGATGGGTTTCAGCAGTGGTGCTGCCATTTTTCCATTCGACAAAAATATAGTAACATTGGTTTTTACGAGTAGAATGCTCCATTTGTTTTTAGTAGGCAACTTTGAACAAAAATTTCTCGAGAACTACCAAAGCAATTTGCATCAGGTTTTTTATGCGATATGTTTATCAGATGTAGTACATTC